TCGATCTCGCTGAATGTATATTCAGCGATATGTTCAACGATTCTTTATCGAGTGAAAACATTAGAAAGTGCTCGCATCTTGTAGTGCAAAAATGATTATTAATATTAATCAATAAATATTGCTTTTTTTGGTAAAGTAAAAATGTGCATAAACGAGCTATTGATTTGCTGATATTAACATAAAATAATTTAAAACAATATTATCTGTTAAAAAAGCATATAATTATGACAAACATTTAACAACGTTATCGTTGAAATAACGCAGTCTAACGAAAATGTAAAATAATAGTTTGAAGATGATAATAAAATAGGCGGGACGGAAGGAAGATGGTCTTTCAGGCAGCGAATTCAGACAGTGCGGAAAGCTGAGAAGCCGAGTGAATTAAAAACGTTCGTTTTCTTGCCGGCGCGGCGCTCGTAAAAGCCACATTTGCCTAACCATACGAAAAGGGAACCGACGAGTTAAGTCCGATTTATATTCCGGCTAGCACGGCAAACAATCTCGAAAACTTCTAACCGCATCGGCCCCGCCGCGCTCGTGTCCCCACCGAGAGAATTCCGAATCAGCGGTTCCCGCCTGCGGAGCTTTAAGCTTCTCTCCAACTTCAGGAAATCTCTCGAAATCAGTCTCTCTTTCCCGCGCGCTTCTTTCCTTAAATTCTAACCGGCGTTGAATTCGGCGCGCCCGCATGGGAAAGACGTCATGAAAAAGGAACGAAGAGAGGGGGGAAACACGAGAAGGAAGAGGGAAACGATTGCGAGTGCGGAACCGCAAGCTCGGCGAAAGTCCGAAACTCATCCCGATTTCCGCTTTCGAATTTTCACGCTTTCCGACGGGATAATGGACTTTCGGGTTACCCCTGCTCTTGGGAAATATATATATCATCTAAAATGTAAACGGCGTTACGCAATAATCATTATACCAAATTTTATGGCATAACTCTAAACTTTTCTTCCTAAAATATGTATATTTCTTATCACTTGTGATAAAAAAATTTTCTTATAAAAATTCTCTAAATATTTAAATAATAGAAATAATATTTATTGCTTTGAATTAATTTTGATGTTTTTCCTTTTTGTTTATTCTTTCGGCTTTTCTTCTTGTAATCACAAGAGAAGCCATACTATATCAAATAATAGAAGATTTTTCTCTGGCTTGACAAACGATAGTTTGGAAGAATCGAAATAAGAGCGACTTTTGAAAGAAGAAATGAACAGGGAATAGAAAGAAGAGAGCGGCAGCTCTCGGAAGAAAGCCGCAAACTTGGCAAAATGGCGAAGGCTTGAAATCCATCTCAACCTTCCATCTTCGAATTTTCACACTCTTTCCAGCGAGATAATAGGGTTTTCTCGAGATACCTTGCCGCACAATAATTCATCTCAGGGCCATGTTAAGGTCGACCGCGAATTAATCACGATTTTCATTTCCTCGCGCGAACGACATCGCCGAGGAGCGCCGGTCTTTGTATGCAGAAAACCGCGCGATGAATAATCTTTTCGGTGCACTCTTTACGCGCGTGCGATTTTGCGCGCTAAGTTAGGAATGCATCGCGCCTCGCTGCGGATGTCGCGCGTGATAAATAATCCCTATGGGATCATTTTATCAATCTAAATCTTGTTTACAGCGAGTTGCCACGCACGCGGATTAAATTTTCCATTTCCACTTTACGCGGATTTCAAGCTTACATATGGAATAAACTTTATTTCCGTTTCATAGTCGACTAAATCGTGAAGAAAATGTAACTTTTATTATAAAATTCATCCGTGCAGCGCAATGAGCGTTTTATTGCAATCGGTAACATTATTTGCAAAGAAATATAAAAGATTAAATGTTCCACATTTTTTTTTCCACACCGTTGAGAGAATGAGTGTTCCTGAATTGTTGCATTCATCAGCGATTATTAATTGAAAACGATATATTTACCCGATAACAAACTTCGATTACAAAAGCAACCTATTCATTCGCTGCGTTGCGATTGTTTAAGCTCGCCAGCATTGATATCGCGATGTTCAATACCGTGAATAACGCAATTTAACTTATATTTACAGTTCTACGGTTGAACTTGTCTAATTTGATATTTGCATTGATGTCAAAGCGAGTAAAAAGAAGAAGGAGCAGAGAGAAAGGATGAAACGTGATTAAATAATACTCTTTCTCATTAAACGTCCTTCAATATGTGCGGAATTGTGCTATGTACACAAGAGCTAGCAAACGGCCGTCTCCCGTCTGGGATTTATCGCACTATAATTCCTTTGACAACGCTTTTTATTTTGATTCCTTTTGTTCGATCCTCACACGTATTTGTAACACGCGTATCGTGACGGAAGTCACGGATGATAAATCAGCGTCGTGCGGGCATTTTATTAAAGTAAGCATTCTTCTCGCCGTGGAAGGAAGTTTTTGCCACTCTGCGTGCAGGCACCGTTCAGCCACACGGTGACGGATAATTAATGCCGCATGGTGCGCGGGCCTGATTTATTGCGAGTGATGTAATTACCGGCACGTTCAGGTTCGCGATACGCGGGAATTTTGCGGAGACGGAGATTGACCTAGAGCTACGGCAATTTCCGGCATGATTAATAAAGATCACGCCGAGGGATCGGCTGCCGCGTCACTGTCGCTTGCACGTTATACTTATTGGACAATATTTCTGCTCCCTTTCTACTTTTTTCTTCGTTAAGCTAGCATGTGCACGTTAAAAATACTCTGTTAGCATTAATAGTAAATGAAAAATTTAATTGATGCATGAGCAGCAATATGTGTATGAAGGATTAAAACGAGCATTATCTATTTTCATGTATTCTCCAGAATATAATCATTTGTGGTTATTTTATTGACAATGAAATTGTACAATAATGATAACAATCATAATTATAAATTAAATAGTTGGTTAATGAGACGAATTATCTTTTCTCACAATAGTTCGATGGATTACAATATAGTTAGTACAATGTACGCAATATAGCTGTTACTGAATTTTACCGCTTTAACGTGGTAATGAATTTGTGCTAACTGCTGTTGTATCGTTTTATGGAATTAATTTAACGAGTACTTAATTTGATTGAATTAATTTAATTACGATCTTGATTGAGTTGATTGGGGCAGAATTACTTCCTTTCATCGTGAAACTAAAAATTATTCTTAGCGCGCTCGAATGGCATTGTCATTGCATAATGTGTCTTCAAAGCCCGCGCACTTTCCCGCTATATTTATTCGTATTGTGCACCGCACGTTAATTCGCAAGCAGGCATGCTTTGTGCAGCTCGAGGTTTGCCTCGAAGGGTAAAATTAATGAACTCGCGGTTTTGCCTTCTTACACGAGCTTACCTTTCTCGACTCTCGAACCACCAGAGCACACAATGGCCAAACACCATCCTAGAAGAGCTCAGGTGGTGTACAGGCGACGTAATACGAAACTGTAATCAGCCTAATGGCACTATGTTATCTTTTTCTTTGTGAAATCGACCGTGCGACCGTTGAAAAGAAAAGAAGAAAGATAAGACACAGGATTGTTTTAGTTTTGAGTCATATCGATAACATCAAAAAATTTATAAAATATCAAGTGAACTCGAGTAATATTTTAACAATTGTGTCTATATTTGAAAATAATTCCAATATTTTATTGGATTCACCGCACAATGTTTATTCTTAACAATTATAAATAATCTTATAAAAATTTATATCTTGCGATTAATTTGTGAAAAATACAGAACAGATTGCATTTTTCATCTTTAATAGAAAAATAGCAGAGAAAATTAATTTTCAACAGTAATTATAATTATGACTTCAAACATTATATGATTACTTTTTATATGAAATAACTAGTGCATTAAAAGTCCACGTTGTATCCTCTGCACAGTAAACTTTAAGAGAGATACGTTATAGTAATGTGCACATTATGATATGTACCTGAAGCGAGTCATTTTGTATAATAAAAGGGAATGCGAAGCATGAGTGCAAACTGTATGTTGTTATAAATGCGGACGTAACTTGTAATTAACGCAGTTTGTCCAAGCGCGTGCAAGCTCATTATCCGCCATGTGTAAGCACCAAATTTTATTGATCAACAAAGGATTCTCGCGAATCACGCTGGTTCTCCTCGATATAACATTCTTGCTTCAGGATAAACACGCCGAGCTGGCAAACAGTATCTAATCCCATGCAAATAACATCACGAAGACAATTTAATTAATGAAGCCGCTCCATGTACTTGTGATATAAACACACACGAACACAGTACGAAAATTAGAATTTACGCAATATGTGTAGATATGAATGAGAATAGGATAATAGGATTGAAATAATGCTCTTATTTGACAGAATTATTCTTTCAGAAGTATGAAGGTCTGTGGTATGCGTTAATATATGTCGTGCACGACGATAGTTTATAAAAAAAAACATATGCGTATTTGTGAGTTGACTTGTAAGAGAGTTTCTTGTCGGTATTATTTGTCGGTTTATTACAAAGTCTTTCGGCACGCGCTTTGATGCCATTGATCAAGTCGGGTATAAATTCGGTGTCGCGCAGTGATCGCCCTCAGTATTTTCTGAATTTCCAAAACGTTCGAATCTCTTACAAGCGACTCAATATTGCGAAGGCTCAAGACATATAATACAGTCTCAAGGTGTTGCCAAGCGACTCAGGACCATTAAGGTTCCTAGGCGTTGTTGCATCTCATAAATCGAGATCACTGATTATAAAGTTTGCGTGATTTCAACTGTTGGTGAATAAATAATAAACAATTATTTTGTGGATCTGCAATAAACATTGGCATTAATACGAAAGAGTCATTATTATTCGAATACGCGAAAACACAATTCGGATATCAAGGTTATTCGGGTTGAGAACAGTCTGCCTTCGTTAATTCTTAAAAACTCCGTAATATATATATATGTATTTTTTTATATCATATTCTATAACCTCTTTTTTATATTGTGATCTTATTTTACTTTATTGATTGAATTTCACTAACCATCATTTTATTATTTGTTCGTTTCAGGCGCTGCCACTGCCAAAGATGCTAGATCTTCGAATCAATTATCGCGAAGAAGCCTACTCGAGACTTTAGAAGACTCGGCAGAAATCTGGTAAGTTCTGGTAACTTCAATATCAGTTTTATGCTCGGGAAGAGTGTAAATTATCCGCACTATCGAATGATTGGTTAGATTTTCTGATTAAAAAGTTTTTAAGTGAAGTTTCTCTGTGAGATAGAGTAAACATCGACACGTTGTAATTGGATTCTACGAGAAAAGAGTACTTGAGTGTAAAACGAAAAAAATTTGTAACGTTGTAGTATAAATTGAACTATTTGTGTTTTAAAATTACCTGAATGAACGCAATACATGTGCAAAATATGCAAAGCAATTTCTATAATGGATTTTCCAATGATATCATCTCTTTTATATATGAAAGTAAAACGACAGAAAATAGTAAAGTATTTTTTTTTATTATTGCCACGATAAAAACATACCAACGTTGTTTCATCACGATAAAAACATATTATTTTCAATCATGATACAAATACTTGACGTTATAGATTTTTAAAATTTCTCATTTTTTTAAAGTAAATAGCATGTTACTTTAGGGATTTGTCAGCATTTATACTTGCAGAGAGTGTGCAATTAAACTTTTAAACTTGCTAAACGTAAACCGCACACTTTTTCGTCGTCTACCAAACTGTCGTACTAGAACGAAAGTTTCAGCTGAGTGTGCGAGGATTTTACGCTTCCGCGACAAATCAGCGGACTTAATGAAAGATGTTTAAAATCTACTAGCGACTTTCAGGCATAATCCTTCGAGCGTAAAAGCTAATTTCAAGCGGCTTTATTTCGATAATACTTCAAAAGTTGCAGAATTTAGATTTTACCGAATATTTAAAGTGCAAAACGTTCACGAAGCTGTCCAATTATCCTTTAACTAACTATTCTTTAAACTGATATATATCGTAAATACTGTAATTACAATAAAAGAAAACATTTTTCGGTAATAAATTTTAGTAATTGTTACTCTTTGTATTTTTTTATAAAACAATATAACGCATACATATATTTGACAATACAGCAGATACTTTTTTAAAAATAAATTCGTGTTTTAAAGAAATTTTTCAATGATTATTTTGTTATTAGATATTGCAAATGAATAAAAATTTTATCTTTTTACCAAGATCTTTAATTTATTTATCAAGGTATTAAGGTCGCAATGAAGTGCGAAAAAATGGTATAAGCTGAGAACATTAATTAAAGTTTCCGAGAGAAGTCTCTATTTAAATCTTAATTGCACGATGTCATTTCAAGGAAACCTCATCGATTATTTTATTGAAATGCACTTTTGTGCTTATATTCATCTATAAATGGACTTCTATAAAGACCAGCGCTTCCAGACATTATCTTTGATGCTAGCGCGTAATGTGGATTCGTCTGCTAATTAATATTTCCACTTGCCGCGTAAGAGCGACTCGACAAGCAAGTGAAAATTTCTGTGTTACGCTATGTGAGTCTCTATGCAAATACTAACAACGTTGGTGCTTTATAATCATCTTGCTATATAATTATCTTTTATATTTTTATGAAAATATTCTTTTTGAAAATGGTTAATAATTACACATACTGTTAATTAAAACAAACATTTTTTTATTTTTGGCGAAAAAACTAGTGTGTACTATCGTAAATTAAAACGTGTGTTTAATTGAGTTGATAAGTTTTGTAAATTTTTTTAAATTAATGAAAATTAACATCTGTGATAAAACGTAATGCTAGTGAATATATTTACATTAAGGTTTTAAATTGTCTTTATTAGCAATTTGGCTTTTAATTGTAACAAATTGGTACAATTTTCATACATTATTTATGAAACATAGCATAACGTCGTTAAGGAGGAATTACGTTTTAATATTTGTATCTATGTTTTATATCTAGCAATTATGATTAGCAGTTAGAAATCGCACTTTATAATATAAGTGCAGGCATCGAACATGCTTGCCAAGGTAAAAGGAAAGGTTTGCATTGTAGAACGGAGATTTCGTGGCTGGCCGTACGCAGGGGAACTATAAATTCTCAGATCGTGAAACAGGAAGGCGAGTACACGCCTCAGGTCCTTGATACGGTCACGCACGTGCTTCTTCACACGCACCGTCGTTATTCCCTCCTTGAAATTTTATCGCGGAACGAATCCAGCGAAAACGATCATAAAACTTTGCACTTTACAACCCCTGAGCCCAAAGACGTTGAGGGGCTGAAGCAGGTCGGACTCATAACCAAACAGGTATAGGCGCACCCGGGTGCGCATGCCTCCAATAAGTCCTATAAACTGGAAACTGTGCTCGTTCATATTTTAATTACTTTTACCCCGCGATCCAGGCGAAACAAACTGCGCCTTATTTCACAAAAATTCCGCGGCCTCCACTTAATTAAACCCAGTAACTTAATAATAGAAATATAAGAAAATATTAAAACGCCGTCTTAATCATCAAATTAAAAAGTTACAACAAATTATAACTCTGAATTAAAGTTGCAGGATATTGCTCTACTTTGTGAGAACATAATATAGAAAAAAGTGTCTCGGAAATGTTAACATTTATTAAATCCTCGAAACAAAATGCTTTTTTTTTTTAACTTTAGACAATGCCGGTGTACTTAAAGCTGCACGGAAAATATATGCAGTACAAAAAGAAATATTTGTGAAATTCTACTTTAGACGTAGGAGCATTTTTAATATTTGAAAAAGAGAGAGACGCAAATCTCGCGCCAACCTAATATTTTAGCATAACCGTATCCGCGGGTTTCTCCTCGTCTTCGCGCAACGTGACTGTAAAATGCCGGGGAAGGAAAAAGAGGCGCGAATGAGGAGAACCGGCTGCGAACTCACTCTTTCTCTCTCCACGAAAGTAGACGGGAAAGATACTGCGGGAGAAAAGAACCTCCCAGGAGGCTCAATGGCGCACGAGAGATAAACCGTTGGAACGCATTGAAACTCCCGTGTAGTCGAGTAAAATGGAAATGACTCGAGTCGTTCGTGAGATAAAGCGTTACGATTCGGATAATTATTAGGTAAAGGGTGAGACACAATTGAAATAGACGCTAAGAATTGGATTGAGTTCGTAAATCATGAGAACGCTATCAAACACTTAAATGTAGTTGAACGAAGTTAGCTGGGGTGGACTTTGCTCAGCAGCAAAGAAGATTATGTGAATTGCTTTTTCCAGGATACCTCAACTCCAGTTTCAAAACATTTTAAATTTGAATTTTTTTATACATGTAATTTAAATTAGATTTGCATAGTTGCGTTGATGCTGCATAAGCTGTAGGAACGCAAATGGAAAATTTATCAATTTTTTTACTTAATTATTTAATATTATGTCACTTTCTCTAACGCAATTTTGTTTTTAACCCTTTGAGTACTGTTGGCGCATATATGCGCTTGTTAGTACAATTTTTATTCCGGCCACACAGAGTGTTTCTTTATTGCACTGTTCCGTATTGAAAGGGTTAAAGACGTTCTAAAGACATCCTAAAAAAAACATCTTAAAGACGTTCTAAAAAAGATGTTTTAACCCTTTGAGTATTATTGGCACATACACATATATGTGCCCACAGCGTTTATTACCACTATTTTTATTTCGGCCACACACAGAGTGTTTCTACATTGCGCTGTTCCGTTACCAAAAGAGCTAAAAGATTTTGAAAAAATATAGCATTTAATTGAACTGAAAAGATCGACGCAATATTGATAAAAAAAAAATCGTAATTTATTAAATATTTTACAATATTTCCAGTACAGCGATTTATACTAATTGTACAATTAATTGTATGTTGCAGGACAAAATGTCGATGACTGGAAGCTTAATGGGATACGAGAATAATAACGATGTGAACCAGGCCAAGTGTAAAAAGCCGTTGAAGCCGCTGCCAGTCGTGTCGAGCATAAGCTCGAGTGGCGTGACTACGAGCACGGCCAAACCGAAAAAAGCACGAAGATCGACGAAGAAAGACAGGAGATGCGCGTTTGGTCATGTAAACAATCTCTGGTCCGTCTGGTACGGCACACTGGCTGTCTCTTTACAGGCATACATAGGACTAAGATGCGCCAGACGATTCTCAAGTAAGATAGCGCTTCTCCATTTTATTCCATTAAAATACGCCTTTGTACTCGCTCCCAGATTCGATTGTATTAGCAACATCGATTATCCGGAAATCTGATTTACTGGCCCGGTGATTTCACTTTCGAACAAAGTATCTAATGGCTTTCTGCAATTGAATCAAATCCGATAGATAAAAATTTTTGTTTATATTTGTGATTTTTTTATCTGATATTATATTATGTTATTTGATACTATTTTAGTAGTGATTTTAATGGTTCTTTTTATGACAATATGGAATTATATCCATAACAATACTGATTTTATTCGCTCAATTATACAATTTATATAATTCCAATTAATAGTATGAGATAAAAAGAACAACGTAGAGATTATGAAATTACATTGGTGACTTTGGAGACTTTTCTTCTTCCCTGCTCGCTTAATGTTACTTTAATCAGTAGGACTTGGGGCGAAGTCTCGAATGGTTCGTTGCCTTTTCTTATTTTCCGACCGTTTCCGGTGGCGGCTTTGCGTAAATTTCTTTCCTTGGCGACTGGTACGAAGCTTTCGTTACTGAAAGTCATTACGAGAAGACGCACGATAACGACGCCATTGCCGAGCGAAATTTTTCGTGCTCTCTATCCTCCCACACTGAGAACTGACTTTAATATCATCTCTAAATAAGATTAACAAAGAATCAGTGATAAAGATGATAATTAAGTAATTTATAGATCGAAAGCATCATACACGATACAATCTTATTAAAATTTCCTTATGTTATTTTCCGATAATTCTTTAATCTTATTACCCACAAGTTCGAAAGTGATTCTTATTTTCTTTGTTATTTCTTCTTATTTAATTTCTCATATCGAGAAAGTAGTTTAATCATTAAAAACCAAAATTAGTTTTAAATACATACAAGAGAAATTTAGTTTTTCTTAGTTTTTCTACGAGAAAGAATGACTTCACGCAATTAACTTTTACATAAAAGCTACAATTTTATATTTTCTCACTAAATTAACTCAATTACTAAAAAAACTAAATTAACAGTGAAATATCAGAAATATAATTTTTGTTATCAATACAAGAAGTTATGATTAGGAATTGCAAAAGATCGTTGTGTCATATTAATTTATTGATTTATTTTTATATATGTATATTGTAAATTGCATAATGCATTTTCTTACATGTTTAATTTGTGTGATTTTACATTGTTTTTTTAGCTTATATATCACTTCCATGGGCAGCGGACGCGCCTCCTCCTGAAAATGAATTGTACGTCTGCCTGGCGCTATTGGGCACGGGACTCGTTCTACTTCCTGTGTTTCTTAGTGCGGCATGTTTGAAGCTCGGCAATCTCGCGAACGATGGAATAAAATTGGGTCGACATTTGAGCGCTTGTTCGCGCGACCCGCCGTCCGCGCTTTATATTAATAATTCCGATAACAGTAAGTAAATCATAATTTCAGTTTTAGACACATGATATAAAGTTAATTAATCTTTGATTTAATTCAAACAAAATAATTATCAACAGTTTTTACCTCTCTTTATTTGAAATAAAATATTGACGGATCTTAAATCTAGTTTTAATTACTGTCGCGATTTTGTGCCACGATTATACTTGTATTTTAATTTTTTTCATATTTGTCTGTTAGTTTTAATAATTTTACAGTTAGTTTTAATAGTTATAAAATTCTGTCTGCGTCAATATTTGATTGAGTTAAGAAATTACTAAATTTGAAATGACAGCAGAAAAAAATGTAATAAATCAGGTAGATGAAAAATTAAGCATTAAATTCACATTTTAAAGATGCTCGATTAATTGTAATTACGATGTATAAGAAGATGAAAAACGCACGAACATGGCAATAACTGCGATTTTTTAGGTCTGGCAAGTAATTTGTGGAGACACGGCGGTCCTACGGCGGCCTTCGTGCACCTCTGCACGGCCATGTGCTTTCTCCTACCCTCTTTGCTCATGGAGGCGAGGCTAATACACGCTGGATTTCTGCCAAAAGGTAATATAAATGTCTCTGCACTGCTACTCGTTATACTGCTTCAGGGCAGGTTAAAGGGGAAAGATGCACTTCTTCCGGAAGGATGCGGAATAAATTATTGATTTTACGTCTAGCTTTTATCATTTTTTATCTAACTAAAGTTAATCTCGCGAATATCGTAAAAATAACATTATTTCCTAAATAATACAAAAAAGGTTTACCAACGTGCCATTTTAAATTTATCATGCTACTTTAAATATAAACTTTGTTGCGCGTTATCGTTCCAGTTTTCTTGTTGACTTAGTTCTTTTGATGTTAGAAACTTGCTTCAGTTTTGATGTTGAAGATTGTTTTTTTTTTCTGGTCTGAGAACTAGACGTAAAAAGAAACTGATTTTGTTGCATCTAGCTGATGCAGCTAGACAACCGCCTTCCGCCTCTATGCATGCGAAATTTTAGCCCGAATATAATATTCATATCATACTTCGCACTAAAATACGTTCGTATGATTCTAAACTTAACATATATCGATGAATAAGAAATTTATGTTAAATAATTCTCAAGGTTGGTTTTATTACGCGATGGTAATTCTTCCGTAAATCCAGGCTCTTGTTAAATAAAAACAAGCGGCATGCTTTTACTCCGCTTTGAAAGCACTGTTGCCATTTTCAGACAATATTGAATAAGTAATAATCGAGCCCAGCGGAGTCGAAAAAAAGCAAGGATACACTTTGATGTACCACGATTCCACGCTCGCTGAGTTTTCACGGGGACATCGTGGGGGGGATATATGACGCGTAGGAAAACAATGAAATCCACGTGAGAAACCGAGCATCTTTCCACGATCACTTTTCCGGAGCTTTCCATTTTGCGTACAGCACCCTCGCTTGTACAAACAAAGGGTGTGACGAGGGAACGTTCCTATTGTACGTTAATGCAGTGCGCACTTCAAAGTCGCACTTCTCTGATCTATCCATCTGCGAATCTGATTTAAGCCAAACAAATCTCGCTAAATAGAACCGTTACATTACATTAATGTTAGATCATTTAAATTTGTAATAAGTTAATTTAATTGCTAGAGAAAAATGCAGTAATATCTAAGATTTTATAAATTACCGAACTTTTGTAACTTATTTTTAAAATTTATCATTTTTAGTTTTTACATTTCAATTCTTTTTCTGACAATCAAAATTATCTCAATTCTCATTAAATGAGTTTTCGCTTTCACGTTTCAAGAAATCGCGTGACATGATAATACGTTTATAATACTATAAACATATACATATAAAGATAGCTATCTGAATATTCCATTATTTCCGGTAACTTTATTTTATTGACTCATTATCTCGTAATTTATTTTATTTATTTTTAAATTTATGTTTAATGAACAAAATAAAAATAGCGTGTCCATGATATTATCGATGCAGAACGATCAGTCATTTCACAAATTTGGTCTAAATTTAGCTGTCGAGCCATACGTAACTTAAATGTAGTTAATTCGTAAATTTCGGCGAATGTCCAACCCGCACGTAATAATCTCCATAATTAAAGCGCCGCCGTGAAGTCACGTTCGTCGAACAAATACAACGCTCGCGTCCGACGTAAGTTATTATTACCAAAACTGGTAAATGTGTTCGCTGCAGACATGTTAAAACGAAGCAACTGAACGAATTTTCGGACATGTCGGACATATTAACCGGTGCGCGCGTCAAAAATTACGCTGCGGTTGAAGTTTCCATGTCCTGTCTGGCGGCAGGATAATAATACCGAGCTCGATCTCGGCTGTGGAAATATCATCAACCGCCGAGTAAAAGGAAAGTTTCTACATGGTTTCGCCCATCTCGCTGGCAGGCAATCGCGCCGGCCTGAATAAATGCATTTCTACGTCGAAGATAAACTCAATAAGCAGCGATTTGCGACGAGATTCCTTGAGGCATAAAATAAGAAATTTGACAGGCTTACATTGTTACATGTGTTATCTCATTTTAGATGTGCATGGCGTCTGCTCGAAATTAGTGTCGTATTATGAAAAATACCGCAATATAAAATATTGCATTTGATAATCGACCAATTTTTTATTTGTAAAGTGAAGTGAAGAATATTAATGAAAGCAATGCATAAGTGGGATTTTTTGTTTGTAGATTTTCATGAATTCGTTAGAAAAATCTATTGATCCATAAAATTTACAATTTATTTACAGAAAAACTGACAGTAATACTGTAATTATATTGCTTTTTCATCTTTTTATTTTATCTGATCGTGCAATACATATATTGATAAGAGAGATTTAGACGCAACTTACTTGAAGTTCTAGCTGCGCGCGCGATAATATATACGATGAGCATTATTCATCTCTATATATCTGAACCACATTAATCTGTAACTGGTACATGGATTTGCTTTCGGGATAAGATATTTATTCCAGACGTTATAAATACTTTATGAATTTGTGTGGATATTCCGTTGTGAGAGCATAAAAATAAAATATACAATATTTATTCAAAAAAATGGAGAAAAGTATATTTTTATTGAATTATTAGAAATAACAGAAAAAAGTATCTAAACACGTCTTTTTTATCAAAAATAAGTAACAAGCTACAAGATTTTGCAATTATATTTTTTAATAATTATTACATTTACTTACGTAATAAAAATATTGCTGTATATTTGAAAAATTTATATTAAACTCTTTTCTTAAATTTGCCATATTATTATTATGCGCAATGTTTTTGCAATATTATTCATAATTCGTGGAAAATCTACACATTATTTATTCAAATGTAGAATTTAAATTATGTATTTATAAATACGGCAAAGAGAGAGAGTCCACGTTTTTGTAGCATATCAATGAAACGAGACTGAAGGTAACTCATTTCCCCGACGATTTGTAATTAAATGCCGGAAAATCACGTTTAATCGCATTTCTACGTATACCAATTCCAGCGTGCTTCGCGCGCCGATTTTGAAATATCGATGCAGACGGGCGGTGTTTCGAACTTTAGCCGCATTAATACGGGAGGGGTCAATATACACGCGCACGTCGAAAGGTATCAGGCGTAATGCACCGTCGGCGCTCGCAAATAGGTATCATTCGCAGAGCGCATTAAGCTCGCTCGTAATTACAGTAAAGTGACGTACGTACGGCGGCTCCGACGGGACGCCCGAGCGGTAACGCCACTGCAAATGCTCGTCCATGCGCGGTCGCTCTCGCAACAACGTGGGCTCTCGTACACGCTCGCGAGGACTGTCAGGAGGAAGAGCTTGATCCGACTGAGAAATATTTCTGTACCCACGGTTTTTCCGCGCTAAGCTCCCTGCGCTTAATTACCGGCGATGTCTCATCCGGCAGAATTGTTCGCAAAATTAAAATCTTTAACTTCGCAGACCGGTTGTACAAACTAGAACCGTGCGGCGCGTTCTTCGTCCTCCGCGCCTGCAACAGACTTTTTCCTCGGGTCAGGATTAATTATAGACTGAAACGCAAACGATGTCAAGTGCCAAGAACGTTTTTCATACTTCCGTACTTTCCATTCTTTTTTATATGTGCTTTGTAACGTTCATTAAAGTTTCACCGGCAAATATTTGTTTGGGAATCGTTAGCAGTTGTTTCAACATATAATTATGATCTTGCTTGTATGTTATTAACCTTTAAATTCTTAGTACGCTGCTTTTCGATAAGAACACATAATTGACTGATAAATTGAATTAGATCCTATTTATAACTTGTAAAAAGAAATTATCCGATGAAAACTCAATTCGCAAAATTGCGTAATTGCTATTAAAATTCTATTAATAATAATAGCTATATTCTAATCACTGTAGTTGTTTTAATTCAGCATTGTACATATACGCGCAATTTATCACGCCTCAGTGTGTACGGGAAAACAACGACTTTCCGCGAAAAGAGCAAATTGCGACGGTCTGAAGAATAGCGAGATAAATTATAGTGCTCCATTTAACCATTTGCTCCGTAATTAATCGCACGTATAACATCTGAAGAAATTCAAGAGCGCGAAGCGGAGGAAGTTGGACATATAGATCAGTCTTGCAGCAAGTTTGCACTTTTCCTCGACGAACGTTAATCAAACGCTGGAAATTATAATTACAGAGCGCGGCGAAACTTTTTACAAAACAATCGAAAAAATCATCTTTGATAAATTGGCAAATTTTTTACCATTTGGACATCAATCTTTCTCCAGCGAACATTCGATAAGAAATCAAACTTTGAACAATTTTTATTTTAAATACATTAAATCGTGGAATGAAGGGAGTTTGTAAAAAGCTTCTCGCGAATTCAACACTAATACTAATACTTAGTACATTGCGAGTCCACGAGGCAATTGAATGTGTTTTGCCATACACGAGGAAATTTCGTTCATAACAGAACACGCTGAGTTGATTTAGAAGAGCAACGTAAATATCACCGGAGTGCGCACTTCAGCGGGAACACGGCTCTCGTAGAAGGCACGAAAATATCCGGGCGGAGGCGAAACTTGGAGTAGAAAACTATGAGAACCTCTGGTCTGGCGTGATCAAAACTTCGGCCATTGCACGCAAGTTTGCGCTAGTTTAATGTTCGTATTACACAAGGCCATGTTTACGTTTACGAGAGTTTAGCACGACGCGCACAAAGTGTCTCGACGAACCCTATTCACGCCGCTCAGGTTATAACATATTGCACACGTCGGGACACACCAAGAAACTATCGTCCTTTATCCGGTTTGTCTCTTCCCCGACGGCCGAAATGAAGTTCGTCGCCCAGGTGTGGATGTCGCGTACGCGCTTATTTTAGTTAAATAGATGTAGTACACATCGCGCGAACTTGGTTATATCTCATCAAAGCAATTTATCCGATTTATCGAGGCATACAGCGCCAAAGTTGTCGGCGCAATGTTTATGCACGACATAACTACATGCTATAAACTTGCAAAGCCACGTCTTCGTGGCTCTAATATACTTAAGATATATATGTATATATACACGTGTATATACAAGTGCAACCACAGTCAAAGCAAACAATTG